TAAGTAATTTGTGTAGAGGTATTATCAAGATAACTTTTTCAAAATTATCTTGATAATACCTCTATCTATAAAGAAGCAATACTAGGATATATATCTGGATTTATTGTAAGTAGATTATTATCAAAGAGAGCATGTTCTGTGTGTGCAAACTCACTTATATTCCAAAACAATTTTGTGGAACATTCTTATGCAGCATCAGTTCTTTCATTGATTAACATAAAAAATAGGGCTTATTGCTACAAGAAATGATGTTACACAAAGTATAATAGTATGCGAGAGCATTTTCAAAATATATGAGCGAAACTTTAAACTGAAAATGATTTATGCAGTTAATAAAATTATTAGTGAAAAACATTTTTTTAAAGACCTAAATGAACAGGATGCTGAGCATGAAGCTGTCACCGCAGACATGCATATATATATATATATATATATATATATATATATATATATATATATATATATATATATATATATATATATATATATATATATATATATATATATATATATATATATATATATATATATATATATATATATATATATATATATATATATATATTTATATATATATATATATATATATATATATATATATATATATATATAAATATATATATATATATATAAATATGTATAAATATACTTTTTCTTATACCGATTTACGGCAGTTAGACATCAAGTTAGGGATCGTCCAAAAGTGCGTAAGCTCGGAGAGGAAGAGGAGGTCTGCAAATGGCGTTTCTGAGATAAGGGGGCAGTAGGTCAATTATAAAAGTATGGAGACACTAAATTAAAAAAATATCATAAAATGTTGGGCTAGTAAGTTAAAAGCGTAGGTACTTTTAGGGAGGTAGAGAGTACTCAAAAAAGCGTACAGCAAATTTGGGGGGGGGGGAGTGGGGGTTGGCAAAAAAAAAGGGTATGTACTTTATGGACGACCCCTTATTCTTAATATATCATTGGTTTTGGTATACTAAAACATAGAAAACAAAAAAATATATTTCTTTTAAAATAGATCAATAAAATAAAATAATCTAAAACACTACATCAAATCAAATAAAAAGTAATTAATTTAAGTTAATCTTAAATTTAATGACCCTGTAAGTTTAAAAATTAAATATTTACTGACAATAAATATTTACTGATATATTTTTTTTTTCCTTTTTTTTCTATTTATTATTATCATTTTTTTTTTTTTGATTTGGTTTTTGTTTTATCTAATTTTTTTATGGTTAGTTTATCTTAAATTTAATGACCCTGTAAGTTCAAAAACTAAACTAAATATTTACTGACAATAAATATTTACTGACATTACTGCCATTTTTTTTTTTTTATTTTTTTTTAGCTAATTTATTTATGGCATTACCTATCAATAAGACGATCTTATTTTAAAGTTAATATTTTTGTAAACATTTATCTTATATCTTAGTTTATACTTTATAATCTTGGATAAAATTTTGTAAAAAAATATATGTTGTAACACGGTGCTTGGCAATAAGACAAAAATTTGGCAAAAAGACAAAAATAGCCTTTTTCTTCATCCAGCCATTAACTTTATTTGTATATTTATGTAGGTTGCAACATTCCTCCAACAGCAAAACTAAATGTTTAAAAAAAAAACACATATACATTTCATTCGAAGGAAAATCAAAATTTTTCAATACAAATTTTTTTTAAAGAAAAGTTTCTCAAAGTGTAAACACTTGACTTTTCCAACTGAGAACACATAGTCTGAGAAAAGGTTGTTGAACCAAATTATCACTTATTAAGTTGTATTTACTTTCATCTTTTTAAAATATATTGATTACGAAGAGAAAAAAAAAATGAGATGCCTTAGTTTTACATTTGTGCACAAAACAAAGTATATTAAAAATATTTAGCTGACAAATAATAAGCATTTTCAAATAAGAGAGGTTCGGCATCAGCAAATCTCTAAAACTAATAAGACGAAAAAAATGCCTCGTTGACGATAAAGTGTTTCTAAGTAAGGATTTCAACTCTTTCAAAAGTAAGTATTTATTTCTCTTTTTAAAAGAAAAATAAACGCTACCTTTTTTATATAAAAAAAGGGCATGTCAATAGACTGTAATTTTTTTATAAAAGTGTCTGTTCCGTTTTATCAACATTAAGTGACAATTTATTTATTTTAAACCATTCACAATTTATGTATTAACTCAATATTCAAACTTTGAAAAAATGTTGTTATGAATTTATGAGATAAAAGAGATTAGTGTTATAAGCAAACATAACGGTCATTAAATTCAAGGTTTCAGAGAGATCATTAATGTAAATAAAAAAGAGGTGGAGTTTTAGTGTACAGTCCTAAGGACCCCACATATCTAATAAACTGGAAGATACAGTTGAGTTATTATCAACAATCTATTTACGCTTGCTTAAATCACTTTTAAGTAGGATGAAACACTTCCTTTGATTCCATAGAACTCTAGTTTTTCAAGTAGAATTTTTGTGATATGTATCGAAAGCTTTTAAATCTGATTTTTTACAAATTATCTTATATCAACTATTTGACTCGTAATTAAAAAGGAAAACAGTTAAACCTTTTTGCTTCTATTCTTGCGCTTCTCCGGCTTGCTTTAGCTGCGACTAGAAGCTTCCGCCCTCCCACCCTTTGTTTCATGTAAATATGCCGATAAAGAGAGTGTATCGATATCTAAAAGTTGCCACATCAAAATTGTCAATATATCAAAGTAATCATCAAAACGTCAAAAGTTTTAACGTTGATAATTTGAACCTTTTTGGATATGTGACGTTTTAACGGTGTAGCCTTTTGGATATGTAACGTTGTGACTAACAATCAATCAAAGGTCAACGTTGAAGTAACATCCTGCGTCTGCAGAGAATGCTAAAAACTATCTAACAAAAATAACTACCTAGGCGCACAGAACTGCGGACATAGAACACTAAAATCTTTCCTTTTTTTTTGGCTTATAATTTTATTCTAAACAAGTATTTGTTAAAGAGCCGACAAAACTATTTTTGTTTTAAATAATTATTTTAGTCAAAATCTGTTAAATAATTATGACAACTATTTCTGTAGGAATAATATTTATATCATTTTAGAACAATCTAAAATAAAGTTAACAAAGGACATCAAGTTTTATTTCTTTATTTAGTATTTTTTTTTTTTTTAAAAAAACATTAAATGAATGAATAAAAAAAAATTGAGTTGCTTGCTTCCTACCGGACAGGTCGTATAAAAACAAGGTAAAACCTTTTGTATCAAAATTGCGCGAATTGCGCAGTATTTTTTTTACCATCCAGTGGTGTTTGTTTTACAGAAGTTGTAAATTGTTGACGTACTATATTATTTGCGACAAGATCAATTCAATTTTTTTGTTAATCTGACTCGTCAAGAAGTTTAAAATACTTCTTTAAATTTGAAATATTTTTGCAAACTAATATAACAAATGTAAAGCATTTATTATCTATTGGCTGATAACAAACGGGTAATTTTAAATGTGTTTCATTAGCTGAAAAACAGTGTTGTTCCAAAATTGCATCCTGCAATGCTGTTTCAAAATTTTTATTAGGAAGTTTAATGAATGAAGATTATTTTTTTAACTTAAAGAAATATCAAGCATAGGGTGAAATAAAAACATAAAAATAGTAACAAATTTATAGTTATAAAAAGGTAGTTACACTGGTAGGAATTAAGCTGTCAGTACACCCAAGGTTTTGGGGAGTTCACTTTCTTTTCCGTGAAAATACGTATTCGCAAAATAATTTTTAAGAGTTGCTAAAATGATTAAAAATAAATGATTTTATCAGTGGTAAAAAACAATAAATTAACTTAAGCGAAATGACGAGTCGTCTGTTTGTTTTTATATAACTTCCTGAATCAAAATTTATGGCGTGAAAAGCTATAATGAATTTTTTAATTTTAATTTTGTTTAATATTTTTTGTTTTGTGTCCTATTGTTTGTTTTTCAGTTATACAATTTGCGATCAGGAGTAATTAAATTGGTCATTTGAAAAACGATTAAAGTCAAAAACACTGAATTTCGGTAAAAGAAAAAAAAAAATTGTTGCAATAAAAATTATTGATATTGACTGTTTTGCCAAATATAACTTTTTTTTTCTTTCATTCAGTGATCAAAAAAAAAAAAAAAAAAAAAAAACAAACACAATAAATCTATTTATAGTTTGATAAAGAAGTGCCAAGCCCTATATGCTGACGAAAATAAAACAGATAATAAAGAGAAAGCAGCAGTTGTGTCTCTAATGGTTACTTTGTTTTGCTGTTATTGAAAGCATTGATTGATGGCTAATATGACGCAACTGTATAAAACTATAAGATATAGCTGACTAATGTTGTTGTTTTAACTAACGATGTATTTATCTATAATGATCTTAAAAATGATCTTATAAATGTAATAAATAAATTACGTTTAAAAATTGACTTTTGTTCTTTTTTAGTTATTTAATTAAGTAGTTTAATTTCAAATCTCAACTACTAATTGGTATTTTTTGAACTAATAAAAAAGCTAGAAATAATATTTTTTCTTCTTTTTTTTGCGGTTTGAATTTTGTCGTGTAATGTAATAAAGTTTTAAATTTAAAATAATATGATAAGTGTTAACTTGAGATCAATGAATTTAGTTTATTTGTCATTAACATTACTGCTTGTGACAATAACAACTTTCGAAAGAGCTGCTTAAATCGAAATGCTTTAAGTAAAAGTATTTTTTCGTACATAGGTTAAATATGTTAGCCGGAAAATATGTTATAAATGAAAAACAAGTTTTTTTAAGTTTCTTGTCATTTAAAAATAGTTTCTATTCAAAACTTTACCTAAAATGCAAATAATAACTTTTCAAATATGAATGCCTGCAAACCACTATCAGACGCAACTAAAAAGTAACAAACTTTAATAAGATGTAGATTGTTAAAAAAAAATTTTGTAACCATGTATTAGCAGTAATTCTAGGTTGAGAATCAGCTACGTAATGTTTAAAAATAATTTTGTAAGTATTACTTTTATTTTACCATTTTTATTTGATTTCTACACTACATTAGGAAAAAATATTTGGGTAATGCAAAGTTTATTTTCACAACAAGATACTTTTCACGCACGGCATCGGTTGAAATAAATTATAAAAATATACGTAGTAAATACACAGTCATTCTCTGTTTTAGTTTGGTGCTAATTTTTTTTTTTTTTTTTTTTATACCCAATAGAGTATAAGCAATGAATTAACCAATCATGTTTCATTTACCTTTATATAAGTAAAGAATTTCAAATATTGATACAAGGGTTTAAAAGATTATTGAATTTGACACAGATTCCAAAATAAATTTTTAAATAAGGACATTATAAAAGATTCCTAAAATGACAGGTGCCGTACTTCAAGCCGTTATCTTACTCAATTTGATTATCTTCTCGTGGACAATAACAAACTGCGAATATTTTAGATGGAGTGGTTGTTTTGAACCACAAGTTAGCAAAGGTAGGTTTTAAGTTTTTTTATAATTTTGTATGTAAATAAATTTTATAGCATATAAATTAAAAAAGATCAGTGTATGTTAAGCGACTAGAGCCTAGCCTCCTATATTTTTTTTCATAATACTACGGTCTCTATATATTGTTAGTCAGATTTTTATTTTGTAAGTTAGATTATTATATTGTCAGTCTAATTTTTTCTATGTTTTCTTATTTTAATTTTTTTTAATTTTAGACGAAAAGATCAATGAGTTTGTTACAAAGATTGGGGAGTTATTTAAATTAAAATTGCAAGGAAAAAACACAAATGGATAAAAAAGAGCGTTTAAAAGACTTAACAATTAAAAGAACTAATTACGAGTCTTACGAGATTTACAGGTCTTACGAGAATCACAAGAATTTCAGAACCGAGTTAAAGTATTAATTTTGATTAATTTATTAACTAAAAAACATATTTGAAAAAGATTTATTGAAAATCAGAGTTTTCAAACTACCCGTTAGATTTACAAATTTTAAATATATATTTAGTCTGTCAAATTTTGTTTTCATATTAACTCATTTTAATTTAAAACATTATCAACATATTTACGCCAACATTGCATATTTAAAACATTATCAACATAATCACGCTAACATTGCATATTTAAAACATTATCAACATAATTACGCTAACTTTGCATAGTGTAGTATCAATATAAAAATCAAAAAAAACTCTTTAATATGCAAAAACATGCAATCAGAATTATATCCAATAAAATCTGTTTTATACTCTGCCAACCTTTATTTACTAAGTTAAATACTCTAAACATCTTCCAAATAAATATTTATCATCTTCTAATTTTTATGTTCAAAATCAATAAAAGTATTATTCCAAAAACATTTAATCTCTTATTCAATACTAATCAGAATAAATACTTAACTAGATTTTCAAATAACACCTATATACAACCCAAAAGTTATTTCGCGGCAACGAAGTTTTCAATTTCAATTAGAGGACCAAAAATATGGAATAAAATACTCACAACTTAACTTAAAATTTTTACAATGTTAAATGAGTTCAAGGCTAAATTTAGACAATTATTAACTAAAAAAACTATTTCTGAAATTGCAAAATATACTTATGGACTGATCTATTAATTAAATGAAAAGTATATTAACTTTAGAAAATTAATTTTTTTTTTGATCTTAGATTTTTTTTCGTTTTAA